CGGGGCCCCCGGCCAGGAGCCGGCCAGCCCCACCACTGTGGGACCTCTGACAGCCCCAGAGGAAGGGTGGGTTCTCCCCACTGATTCCAGTAGAGTCTGTGTTGGCCTGTCTTGGCCCAGCCTGGGCCACATGTCCCATCCAGGCCAGCCCTGGAACTGGCCAGATCTGGTTCCAGAGACAGGCAAGTGGGTGGGATGGGGTTTGCCCTGCCAAACCTTATGAGTCGAATTGGGCCCAAGTCTCTTCCACAGGAGACAGAGGGGTTGTGGTCCCATACGGAGAGCGAGTGTGGGGCTCCCGGGTATCTGCTAGACACCAGCACCCTGCCTGTGCAGCATGGGTTCAGGTCAACACCCATTCAGTTTGCTGAGCTTCCCCAGATGTCACTGCTCAGGGCTACTTCCAGGAGTCTTCCTGGAGGACCCCAAACATCTGCTTTCTGGGCTGTTCATCAACTGGGACTCGGTCAGCTGACCTTACCTGACAGCCACTGGCCCTGTCCCAGTTGGGACCATCACCTTCCTTCTTCCCCAGAGCAAAGGACACGCCCAGGTGCCATCATTCCGCCCCTACCTCCTGGCCCTCTTCACGCACCAGTCCAGCTGGTCCACGCTGCACCAGTGCATCCGTGTCCTGTTGGGCAAGAGCCGGGAGCAGAGGTACGTGTCCCTCTCTACCTGGCCTGGGGCTCACTGGGTGGCTTATGTCCCTGTCTGGGAGCTAGGCTCTGGCCTTGCAGCCGCATGGCCCCACTGCTGTTTCAGGTAAACCCAGGTAAATGTCCCTAGCATTGAGGGGCTCCAGGAGGCGTCTGGTCCTTCACCCACCCCATGGTTGTATCCCCTCAGCCCCTCCCCGGATGTTGCTTGGCTTCCTCAGAGTACCTGTGGCAGTGGAGCTGACAGCTCGCTGAACAGCCTGCCGTGGCTCCTCCCGCCCAGAGGAGCACGTGCCTTTCTCTAAGCCACAGTCTAGCCGAGGCCTTCACCACACCAGTACCCCAGGAAGGTGGCCAGCAGAATCTGGGGCCCTTTGGGGACATCTCTTCTTAGGAGTCCAGAGGCCACCCCATCCCTCACCGATCCCAGCTGCACTGTGGGTCCAGGCAGAAGTGTCCCTGCCATGGCTGAACCCCATCCCCTGGCCCCACACTGTGAGGAATGGATAGCGTTCTCTCCTTGGATCCTGCCATTGGGCTGTGGCCTTCCCATCTGTGCTGTGCTGTGGGGCACCCTGAGGGTGGTACTGGCGGCACGAGAGCTCTGCCACTTGGCTCTGACAAGACTGCAGGGTGGTCAGGTCTGACGTTTGTGTTCTTTCGTGGGTGCAGTGTCTTACCTGAGGACATGAGAAGGGGGCCAGGAAGCCCACATTTCCCTGCCGACCTGGACCCTTAACCAGGAGTCTCAGAGGGCCCTTGTGCAATTGCATGAAGATGCTCTGCACCAGGAAGCCACTTGCCTTGTCTTCCTTGCTTTGATTTTCTCTCTGGGTTTAGTAGCTAAAACAAGCTTCATATGCTTAGCCAGAATTCCTTGCATCCTTCCAGGTTTGACCCTTCTGCCTCCCTGGATTTCCTCTGGGCTTGCATCCACGTTCCTCGGATCTGGCAGGGCAGGGATCAACGCACCCCACAGGCAAGTCTTTGGAGATAGCCCAGCCCATGGAGTGGGTGGCGTGTCCCTGGGCTGACTGGCAGGTATCTGGTTGCAGAAGCGCCGGGAGGAGCTGGTGCTGCGGGTCCAGGCCTCAGAACTCCTTAGCCTGGTGGAGCTGATCCTGGCTGAGGCAGAGAGCAGAAGCCAGGACGGGGATGCTGCCGCCTGCACCCTCATCCAGGCCCGGCTACCCCTGCTACTCAGTTGCTGCCGTGGAGATAACGAGAGTGTCAAGAAAGTGACAGAGTACTTGACGGGTTGCATCCAGCAGCGGGGAGACAGGTGAGGGCTGAGCCTACAGGTGTCTCTGCTACCGATGTGACTGGAGTTCACATGTGAGCTCTGTGGAAGAGTGGATACCCTGGCCCCACTGTCCAACACTAGCAGCCCCTGGTGGCCATGATGGCGAGCAGCTTGTGACAGTCCCAGACAGCTGCTGGCTCCTTGGCCCCTGTCCACCAGTGACCCTCTGGTCTGGTCTCTTATAGCGTGCTGGGCAGACGCTGCCGAGACCTGCTTTTGCAGCTCTACTTGCAGCGGCCCGAGCTCCGAGTGCCTGTGCCTGACGTCCTACTGCACAGTGAAGGGGCCACCAGCAGCAGCATCTGCAAGGTGAGGGCGGAGGCCAGGAGCAGGGCAGCCACTCTGAGGCCGTGAGTGATGAGTGATGCAGAGGGATGGGTCCAGCTCACTCCTGTTCCTTACTTGGAAGCTGGCAGCCGACTGAACAGCCTGCTGTGGCTCCCCTTGCCCAGAGGCGGCACACGCCCGTCTCTAGGCTGTAGTCTGGCCGAGGCCTTCACCACACCCCTACCCTAGGAAGGTGGCCAGCAGACCCTGGGGCCTTGAGCCCCAACTAAACATGGAGAAATGTATTTTCTCAGTTTTGTTTTGTTTTGTTTTATTTTTAAAAGGAAGGCTGGTCCTGTAGTCAAGTGATTAAAGGAGCCAGATCCCATATGGCTGATTGTGATTTGAATTCCAGCCCCAGTGGCTTGAAAGGCATTCCAGAGTGTGTACATGCATGCCCAGTGTCCCAGCAGAATGAAGAATGGAAAAGGGATCACAGCATGACTGGATCTCACTGCTTTCTATTCCTGTCTGATGTCTAGCAATGGCGTGTGGGCAGCTCTGCCTGTCCTTAGGTTGTCTAAAGGCAGAGCCTGCCCTGCAGCCCTCCTGTTCTAACTCCTCCAAGGAGTCTTAGGAATTGTCTTCTTCTTTAAATTCCCCTGTAGAGCAGAAAAGAGTGGGTGTCTGCCTACTTCCCCCCCTTAACAGCTCTATTTAGGTGTAACGTGTAGAATGTGCTGCATATGTATGTAGTATGTCATTGTTCAGTTTTGACATGCCTTGTTTCTATCGCTGCGATCAAGGTGGTGCACACCCATCACCCCTAGCAGTGTTCTGTGTGCCTTGGGTCCCCGCAGAAGGGGTTGGTCCCTGGCCACCCCTGCTGTGCTCTGTTACTGTATATTGGTTGCATTTTCTGGAGACTTCTATCGGTGAGGTCAGTGTCTCTCCTCTTCGGCATCTCAGCATGCCTTCAAGATTCAGTGTGCTGTTGTGGGCACAGATAGCCCGTCCTGTTCCTTGCCGAGTGGTTCTCCATCGAGTGGGTGGACCTGTCTGCCCATGCACCTGCTGCCAGGCCTCTAGGCTGTTTCCTGTTTGGGGCTGTGATGGAGCTGCTGGAAGGGTTGGTACAGGTCTCACTTCTCCGAGTGGAGTGCCAGGTCTTCTGTGCCCACCTCCCTGCTGCTCGCCAATGTGTGTGAATCTGAAGCTTTCCCTGCCTTAGTGTGATATAGAGAAAGGGATTGTTTTCTAGCCATTTCCCTTCTGTTTTTTTTTCTTTGTAATTATATATTTCATACAGTTTAAATCATATTTTACATATAGTTTTGGCTTTTTTTCCCGCACCAAACATACAGTGTGATGCTTGGTATTGAAAGTTTTTATATCAAGGTTAATTTCATATACTGCTCTGAGTTGCCTAAAGACTGGCTGTGGCTCTGTGACCTCCAGAAGCACTTGGAAAACAGTGATGGGGCACATTCCCCTGCGTTACTGTGTGGCTAGGCCAGGAACATGCCCTGTCATAGCCTGGTCAGAGCTGGCAACCAGACTTCATGTGTGGAGCAGGCAGGAGAGGTGAGAAGGCTGTGGGTGGCTCCCAGACCTCAGACCTTCCCCCTTCTTCTCAGCTTGACGGTCTCATTCACCGCTTTATCACTCTCCTCGCGGACACCAGTGACTCCCGGTCATCAGAGAACCGAGTGGCAGACGCCAACATGGCCTGTCGGAAGCTGGCTGTGGCCCACCCCCTCCTGCTACTCAGGTACCACTGGGTCCCTGCAGACTGAGGGGAGGAGTCTGGGGTCTGATCTCACCCAGGGAGATTCCCAGCAGGAGCAGGTCCTCCGGAGGCTGTTCCAAGCTCTGCCCCTGTTTTGGGTGTTGATGTAAAGGAAGGGTCTGTTTCTAGCTGCCCATGTGTGGAAATCCAGAGCCCTGACATTGAGGACAGGTGCCAGCCTCTGGCTAGAGGGCTAGATCAGAAGGTGCATAGCACTTCATAGGCCTTCTGGAGCCTGGTGGGTAGCACAGGTGGCCCAGTTCTGGCTCCTCACAGCCCTCTCCAGGCTAGCATCCCTGGAACTTGTTGAAGAGGCAGACCTACTTGTCCTGACCTGCTGGGCCCGGCATCTGGGCAGCTCCCTCCTGGGTGATGCATGCGCACTGGGTGGGCAGAGAGGCCTGGGTGTGCTTTACTCATCTCCACCTCAGTTTTCATATGGGTGGGCAGGGTCTGTACGGCTCCACTGAGGGTCCTTCCATGCCGCCCCCCAGGCACCTGCCCATGATCGCTGCTCTCCTGCATGGCCGCACCCACCTCAACTTCCAGGAGTTCCGGCAGCAGAATCACCTGACCTTTTTCCTCCACGTGCTGGGAGTGCTGGAGCTGCTGCAGCCGCAGGTGTTCCAGGATGAGCACCAGGGGGCACTGTGGGACTGCCTGCTGTCCTTCATCCGCCTGCTCCTGGTGGGTCCCTGCACCCTTCCTTCACCTAGCTGCTGTTTCTCTGCTCCCCCTCCAAACACTGAAATTCCTCTCCTCTAAGCTCATCTCTTCCCACCACCCTGGTGTGATCTTTCTGCGCAGAATGGATGCCCCCCCCCCAACTGAAGAATCAAGCCCCTTGGCCTGGCCCCAGGGGTTGGGGGCAGTCTGCTGCCTGGTAGCTTCTGCCACTTCCACCTGTCCAGAGACTAGCTCTCACTTGGGAAAACCCCCTGCCTCCCAGCTTCTTGTGTACCTAGGGAACCCCATGTTTATGAGAGTCCCTGCTCAGCTTTCCCAGCCCTCAAGGCTACTCTCTGCACACCATTTGTCCCCTGTTGAGCCATAACCTCCCTTGTCACATGCCCCAGTGGGGCACCTGCATATCTGCCCTGTGAGCTCATGATGGACAAAGGCCATGTCTGATCACCTTCATGTCCCATGTAGTGATCAGCAGAAGGCCCATGGGAAGCAGGTATTCAGAGGTCTCTGTGTGAGCACCACAGGCTGTGAACAGCTCTGCAGGGCTTGGCTTATCCTTTACAGAATTACAGGAAGTCCTCCCGTCACCTAGCCCCCTTCATCAACAAGTTTGTGCAGTTCATCCACAAGTACATCACCTGCAATGCCTCAGCGGCAGTCTCCTTCCTGCAGAAGCACGCCGACCCGCTCCAGTGAGTGCCTCTGACAGCCATGCAGGCTCCTGGGGAAGCTGTGGCCCTCTGGCAAGGGTCTGGCCACGGGACTTGAGGGGGTATACCCAAGGAGGCCACAGAGTGGTTAGGTCTGCATGCCCTCAAGGCAGGGGGATGCGGCAGCTGGGAATAGATTCTTTCATACTCAGGGTCCAGGATAGCAGAGACGGCTCAGGTGGGAGCTCCTCAGTGGGGGGATGGTGGCTCAGGTAGATACTGTCTTCAGCACTCAGGCCCAGGACAGCAGAGGGTGCTTCTCGGCCCTCGGCACAGCGCGAGGGCAGTAGGTGCTCTCTGCCTTACTCTGCACACACCTTGCCTCCCTGCTTGTTCCCCCCACCGAGGTCCTTCCCTCTCCCTACCACATGTCCACTCCTCCTTCCTGCATTGCCCTCCTTTGATCCTCTGTCCAGCCTTCCATCTGCCAGCATCTTCCTCTAGTGTAAAACCCAGTGTTTTTTCTCTCCAGTGACCTGTCCTTTGATAACAGTGACCTAGTGATGCTGAAGTCCCTCCTTGCAGGGCTTAGTCTCCCCAGCAGGGATGGCAGAGCCGACCGAGGCCTGGACGAGGAGGGTGAGGGTGAGTGGGCAGTGGAGTCTGCGGGGAAGGGACTGCAGAGCAATCTTGGAAGTGCTGGTCTTCCCCAGCAGCATGGCCAGCCCTTTGCCACCCAAGTGTCCTATGGCCAGTGTGACTGAGCAACAGCGTCCTTGTACGTTGGGGATGTCACCCACTTTCCTCAGTACTGTCTCAGATGTCACCTCCCCAAAAGGCCTTCTATGGCCCTCGTCGGCCTGATGACAGCATGGTGTCCCACTGGCCAGACTCTGTCCCGCACTGGTGCTATGTGGTTCCACCATGCCTGAGTGCCTGTGGTGTACCAGGCACTGCCTGGCCTTGGGCAGTGGCCGGTATGCTCCTTGGGGAGAATAGTGTTGTTTACAGAGACAAACCATGGCCTGGTGTTGGCCGCTTCCTGCCCTCAGACATCCCTCAATGGGCCCTGCAGTCAGCCCCCCAGCCCTCTTCACACTATCTTGCCTGTCTTTCAGATGAGAGCCCAGCTGGCTCCCTGCCCCTGGTCAGTGTTTCCCTCTTCACCCCTCTGACCGCAGCTGAGATGGCCCCCTACATGAAGAGGCTGTCCCGAGGTCAGACTGTCGAGGGTGAGTAGGAGGCCTGATTTCACCCCTGGCACCCTGGGTCCCATCGGGGCTATAGTAGTAGACATCCAGGCTCAGACGTCAGGGCATGCAGGGGAGAGCACAGGGCGGGTATATGCCCAAGAGGACATTCAAGTGCAGTAGGTCGGGACTGCATGCTGGATTTCCTGGGGGTAGGGGCTCCAGAAGATAGGCCTGGTGAGTAGGACAACCACTCTTCCGTAGGAGAGCCAAAGGTTGGGGTGGCCAAGATAGAGCTGGGCCGTGGGAATACTTAGTGGTGCTCAGGGCACCCTGGACACAGGTGGGCTGCTGGAATCAGATTCCCTCACTGGAGACCAGTGTATAAGGCTAGATGGTCACCTGGCAAGAGGGGAATGGGCAGCCAGGACAGGCATCCACGTATGGTGCTTTAGAGAGTTTACCAGGTGACCTGTACCCCCAGCATGGGCACAGCTGGCCTAGTGGGCTGGGGAAGCCAGCAGTACATTCTGGTACTTTCCACCCTGAGGTGCACAGGGACTTGTGCCCTCCTGCCTCTGGGTTGCTTGGAGCCAGGGGCCCTAGCAGCTGTGCCTGACCTGGCCCCCTCTGCCTTCCTAGATCTGTTGGAGGTGCTGAGCGACATAGACGAGATGTCCCGGCGGAGACCTGAGATCCTGGGCTTCTTCTCGGTGAGTGGAAGGTGGGGAGAGAGGCTCCAGTGGACAGCTAGGAGGAGCAGCCTGACCCCACACCCTCGCTCCCGCTGTGGCTCCCACAGAGAGCCCTCTGTGGCCAAGTCTCAGAAGAGAGGCCTCCCTCAGACACTGCCGAGGCAGGTCCTCCCTGTGTCCTGAGCCGGAGCTGGCCGATAGCAAGTGTTTCGTGGGCCACCCAGCAGTGAGAGCTTGGGCAGCAGCCCCCTGCCACTAGCACCTTAGTACAAGACTGAGAACCTGAGGGCTGAGGGTTTGAGCCCTCAGTGGGGGTCACCCTGGTAACACCTCCTGTCCTGCCCCTGCCTTTGGCCAGACCAACTTGCAGCGACTGATGAGCTCTCCTGAGGAGTCCTGCCGCAACCTGGCTTTCAGCCTGGCCCTGCGCTCCATCCAGAACAACCCCAGGTACGCATGGCATTGCCTGCTGTGCCCCAGCACATGTCCTGGCTGAGGGCAGCCTCTCCTGGCCACTCCTTTCTGACACCTGCTCAAGAGGAAAGTCATGCCGAGGTCACTGGTTGGTCTGCCCAGTAGCCAGACCAGGCCTCCAGGCAGGTCAGCTGGCCTTGGGGCCCAGGGCTGTGTCAGGGCTCCTTAAAGCCTCAGCACAGGGAGCGGGTACCCACTGAAGTATGTGCCTCTTTCAGCATTGCTGCCGACTTCCTGCCCACGTTCATGTACTGCCTAGGCAGCCGGGACTTTGAGGTGGTGCAGACAGCCCTCAGGAACCTGCCCGAGTATACCCTCCTCTGCCAAGGTGAGTGGCTGACCCCATCTCAGGCCCCCGCCCACATTCCCAGTTCTGAAAGTCCTTGGCCCCATGACCAGCTCCTAGGGAAAACCCGGAAGCTTATCTTCCAGGGGCTGCCTGGCTGCCATACTTGCCCATATCTCAAGGCATGGTCACCATGACCAGGGTGTCTGGGGCCAGGGCCTTGCAGGGTCCTCATCTCTCCCACAGAGCACGCAGCTGTGCTGCTGCACCGGGCCTTCCTAGTGGGCATGTACGGCCAGGTGGACACCAGCGCCCAGATCTCCGAGGCCCTGAAGATCCTGCACATGGAGGCCGTGATGTGAACCTGTAGCTGCCTTGATCTCTTGGCATGTTGACTGGGGTCCCAAGGCCAAGCTCAGGAGGCCTGGTCCGCCGGAGTCTCACCTGAGAGGAGGGAAAAGGTGCTGAGCCGCGCATGGCTGGGCAGGACGAGGCCCAGAGCAGAACCCAGAGCCTACAGCAGTGGCTTCTGGGCCGCCTAGTGTGGGGATGGCAATCTGCCAAGGCCTCACTGCCACCTTTCAGTCACCACAGAGTGACAGGGGACACAGCCTAGTGGCCAGGAGGCTGTCATCCCGATGAGGGGGAGCAAAGGACTGGCTTTAAATGAAACATTCTGAGTTCCCTGTGTCGACTCTGTCCTGCCGTTTCCCTGGCCTTGTTCTCCACCCAAGTCAGCAGGACTTGAGCAGGATCCTGGGAAGTGAAGACCCAGGTGAGGTCCCCAGGCCCTCTCTCCCTGTGGGTGTTTGTGGGTCTGCTGCCTCCTGATGGTGTGGCCTCTGGTCCCTGCCTGGCGAGTCCCCTGCTCATGGGCACCGTGTTGGGCCCCATGAGAGTGAGGCTTACCAGTCTCCACCTCTCATCTGAGTAGGGGTGACAGGGCGCTGAGCCCCTTGGCTGTGGGAGCTGCACTGGGGGAGCTGGTGTGGGAGTGACCAAGGCAGTCAGTGGTGCAGCCTGGTCTGCCTTTCCTTGCCCTCGCTGCCCCCTGGCAGAGTTGGGGATTGGCGAGTATCCTTAGGGTGCAGCTGTGGGGTGGGTGAAGAGGCACCTGACCGAGCACTTGTCCTATTCACGAGGGGATGAGCGACTGCCCTTTCTTGCAGGGCTAGGCTCCTGGGGCCCAAGAAGCTGGCCTGCTCCAGGTCATGCCCTGGTGTTTCTCCTTTCCAGCTGTCCCCACCTCAGGGCTTCCCATTAGCTCCTCACAGTCCCTGGGCTCAGTGCTCCCTGAACAATTCATATTGGTCACTTGGCTCCTGCTCAGCCAGACCCTCTGAGACCACCAGAGGGCACTGTGGCTGAAAAAAAAAACAACCCAGGCCCCTTCCTCAAAGCTTTCCCCTCTACCTTCAACCTCCACCCCCTGGTGTGGGTATGAGGCCAGAGGGTCTGAGATGCCTCAGTCTCAGGGTGAGAATTCCTTGGGTGCACTGCAAGTTAGGCAGTAGGGATTCTAGGCTCAGCCCCCACCATGCACCAGCCATTGGGGCAGTGGATGTAGGTCTGGGGCTGTCAGGAGCCCCAGGGGCCTGGCCTACCTGCCCACATCCACCTTCCTGAGAACTCACCTTACATCCTCCTCAGAATCTCTCAAGGCAACATGGGTCCAAGCACAGGGCCCCGTGGGGGGAGGTAAGCCAGTGTTGGGCTTATTTCCAGAAATACCTGCCCCTAGCCAGCCCCTGGTGGCTCCCCAGGAAGGGGCTGGAGCCCATGTCTGGATCCCCATTACACAGCTGCCTCGAGCACCTCACCGTCCTGATACGGGTGTGTGTGGGGACAGCAAGCTCAGGCAGTGGAGTGGGCTCAGAGGCCAGGCGCAGGAACCCTGGGGACCCTTTTCCCAGCTGGTCCTGCCAGTGTCAACGCTGAGGCTGAACAGGCCTGGGCCTCAGCCTCTTGGCCCTTGCCCTTCCTTCTGGCTTCTAGCTTACTGGCCCACAGCAGCAGGGTACAACTTGGGAGTCACTGCCCTGGGAGTAACTTGAAGGCCTCGACCAGGAGCTGCTTAGTGACCTTCATGCATGACTGCATGCATGAAGTCTAGGGAAAGCCTGGAAGCTTATCTTCCAGGGGCTGCCTGGCTGCCATACTTGCCCCTATCTCCAGGCATGGTCACCATGCCCAGG